CCCCAAAGCTGGGCCTGCGGTTCCTTAATGGCCCATCAATTAGCAACTGGGATTTTTGGTCTTTGCTGTCATCTCATTTATGGTGTGCTTGTCAGATGCTGTCTCTGTGTGTTTTATCACTTTCCCTGATATTTGTGACTCCCTTTTGTTATTAAGGTCCCCAGGCATTCGCCTCTAAGTCAGAGTTCTTAATGGCCCATCAATTAGCAACTGGGATTTTTGGTCTTTGCTGTCATCTCATTTATGGTGTGCTTGTCAGATGCTGTCTCTGTGTGTTTTATCACTTTCCCTGATATTTGTGACTCCCTTTTGTTATTAAGGTCCCCAGGCATTCGCCTCTAAGTCAGAGTCAGGCTCTCAGACCTCTCATCCAGCTAGTCTGGCCTGAAGTCACACGCGCACACGCACAAACGCACACAGAGCACAGAGCGAACTCGCACAGAAAATAGTTGGGAATAGAGCTTAATGGGAAGCTAGGACAGGCTGTAGCGACTGGGCGCAGGGCTGGGCCAGACGAGCGTGCTAACCACGAGCTGCTGACACGCAGCTGGCCCCTTTTATCTCCCCTCCTCTCCATTTTCCCATGCTCTGATCCTTCCCACAAACATCCCCTAACTTCTGCATCTTGCTGCAAAAATCTCTTAAAAAGTCCCATAACATGGTCTGCACAGCCCCACGACCCTCCTCCAGCATCCCATAGCAGCTTTGCTCCTCCCCGTGAGAGCCAGGGTAACCTTGCCACTTCCTACCAAAGTCCTCTAAACCTTCTCAAGGTTATGTGGGACTGGTTCCCATAATAGCCCATCAATCAGTAACATAACAGCTGTGATCTTTGCTACCACTGAATTATGCTGAATCAACGCTACGTAGATATCCTTAAAAGAGTGACCAGGGCTTTTACAGGGCCCACCGATGGCAGGACATGGGGACTTTCCTCCAAGCAGCAGCAGGGCCCTGCTGGCCCCACACCCATGGGGGCAGAGAGTCCTGCTCCAGCTTCGTCCCCAAACTCTCCTCGAGGATACTGCTGTCCTGCGGGCAGGGAGGAGTGGGACGGCCAGGGGAGGCTCCCCCCAGCCTGCACCCAGTGCCGGGATGTTCCCCTGGCAAGGCAAAGTGCGTGTGCCGTATAATCAAGCTCACGAGGCCAGGGAACCATGCCCTTACATTTCCAAAGCTGATTTTCCAACTGCTCGGTTCTCAGAAGAGGTCAGCTGTACAACTCATTTTTGGGGAGAGGTCTCACCCTCTCGGTATGGACAAGGCTGTGGGCTCAGCTCTGGGATGTTGCCTGCCTGATCAATCACTGAGCAAGGAGACAGTGATTTCAGGGGACTGAAGGGCCAAATTGCTCAAAAGCCCCCCCCCACAGCAATTGCACTGAGGGCGGCTGGGCCATGGCGGCACTGGGAGGGGGGTGGGACGTGAGACCGGGTGGGTACCGAAGGCACGAGCATAGTCTCCTGGGATGACCGAGCCCTGGACCCAGC